TGATCACAGCAACCTCTTCCATCCTGATTTCATGGCATCTCCCAGAAGTATTGCTCAGTCCTGCCCTGCTGGGCTCTGCTGATTATGGGATCTTAGGCAAGTCCCCTGACTCCTGTGCCTCAGGCACTTTATCTGTAACGGGGGTATGGAAATAGTCCCTACCTCGTGAGGTTGCCGTGAGGGTAGTGAGTGAATATATATGAAGTACCTAGCACATGAGAAGTGCTGTAGAAGTGTTAGTAGTGTTCGTTTGACTCCTGTCTCATGGCATCCCCTTTGCTGATCTCTCATGTTGTAAATGGGCTGTAAGTGCCCTGAGTCAGGCCCCAGGACTCAGACTTCCCATGGCTTCTGCAGCATCTGGCATAGAGCCTGGCTCCCAACAGGGCATGGTGGCTCCCAAGCCTCACTCCCGACCTCCCACTGGCCATCTGGCAGCAACCGGGAGTTCCGCTGGACTCTGAGACCTTCAAGGCTCCTTCAACGTCAAGATGCCAGACTCAGGGTGGAAAGGGGAATTCCCACACCTGCCTCTCACAGGGGCTGTGATCTTCAGAGCCCCCTGCCCTGCCCCTGAACGTGCCCCTGTTTCTCCCAGGCCTCCACCTTCTCAAGAGAGTCCCTCTAACAGCCTCTCCTCTTCCCAGAAGCTGCCCCCTGACTTGGTGAGGGACCTCAGGCAGGTGCAAGCTACAAGGATGTGGAAGGCGGGATGATGCACTGACACGGGCCGGGGGCTGGTGCTGGGTGTTTATCGCCTGTGCCATCGACCCGCACAGCTCGCTGTTTATCTGTCTTCCTGACACACCTAATTACCCAGGTTGCAGCTGCCAGAGCGTTTGCTCTTCCTAAATCATGGGCTCCCATCTCTCCTGTCGCCCAGGCCTCTGGGCCTGTGCCTGCAGAAGGGCTGCCATTGATTTTGCCATTCCCATTTATGATCTACAAGGCTCTGCATCGCTGTTGCACATTTTACCTTAATTAGTTTATTCTTCTGGACGTCCCTGTTGAGCTCCAAAGTCAAGGGGCTGGAGAAGTGGAGAGGCCAACAGCATGTGGCACCCCAACCCTTCTGGCCCCAAAGCCCAGAGCCTGACTGGACATCAGCGGCCTAAGATGGCAGTTTGTCTGCTAATAGGTGGTCTGCAAAAAGGGATTCCATGGCTGAAGTACACGGGGTTAAATAGAATTAATCAGGTAATTTATTGCAGGACTTTTCAAAGTTTTAATAGACCAGTGTCCATTGAGAATCTCCAAGAGATGGGTGAATGTGCAATCTTCCCCAAACTCAGGTGACCACAGAACCCTTTCTCCAGGCAGCTCACAGAGACCAGGATCCCACACAGCACACTTGGGAAATGCTGCCCTGGGTGGGCAGGAGGAATTGGAGGTGATGAAGCAAACAGAAAGGGATAGAATTACCGTGGGCCCATTTTCTCCTCTTGTCTAGTTGAGGTGGGAGTTCGGCGGCCTGAGAAACTTCTCCCATTGACTCCAGAGGCACCCAGCAGAGCTTTGCAGAGCCCCAGCTGCTGGCAGCCACTTTCTCACCCTGGCCCAAGCTTTCATGGAGTGTCGCCGAGGTATTTCAGGAAGGGCCTAGGCTAGCTGGAGACACAAAGTCTAAGGGGACCCTGGTTGACAGAGATGGG